GGGGGGGGGAGTTGATCCTTTCCTCAGCAATCCCCCACATTTTCACACCTAGACTGATGAAAGGCTGCCATTTATATGTCCCAGAGGGCCTGGCTCTTAGTTACCTGCTCTCTCAGTCATGTGATTGGAAGAGAGCGGGAGGGAACCAGGCATAGGCCAGAGCTGGGACTTTAACCCCTTAAAGGCCCAGCTTACTCTGTTAGAGACAGCATTTACATATTAGCAGTCAAGCATATTTATAAAAGTCTCCCTTTGTGGGTTGGTACTATGGGTGAAAATCACCTGCATAGAGAGGGCCCACAGGTCATATGCATCAATTAAGCCTAACTAAGGGCTTAATTGGAACTTAACAGGCTTCATGCTGACCTTCTGCACAGGTGAATTTCAGATTTCATATGTTCTATAAGTTTCTATACTGGCTCTGCTGCAATAAGTTACACATTGTGCACAGTGTCCTTAGAGGCAGTGAAAATGTAAATACACTGCACCTGGAGAGAGACTTTCACTCTGCTGGGAAGGTAATACATAGTTAAAGTCCAAGGTACATACAACCTGGGTTTTTTTAATTATTATTTTTATTTCATAGGAAGCTCTACATCTTTTTGCCAAAAGTGACAAATACAGCAACTCCTCACTTAACGTTGTACTTATGTTCATGAAAAATGCAACTTTAAGTGAAACGATGTTAAACAACTCAAATTTTCCCATAAGATTTACGGTAAATGTGGGGGGGTTAGGTTTCAAGGAAATTTGGGGGGGGGGCAGAAAAAAGGCATTATATACTGTACAGTACTGTACTGTGCTGTGGTTGGGAAGTGTCCCTGGCTTACCCCACACAGGCACAGCCCGATGCAGGCAAGGACGCTAGGAAGCACCTTTGCAACAGCAGCGGCAGTTTCCCCGGAGAAGAACAGGTGCCGACTTTGCGGGGAATGCTCTTCCTGTCCCCGCTCCACTCCAGGCCCACCTTTTCCCACCCCCACTCCACCTCCTCTCCGGAGCACGCCACATCCCCGCTCCTTCCCCCCACCCCTCCGAATGTTTAGCAGCATTTAGGATTTTCTGGGAGGGAAGGGGAGGCTTGGAAATGTGGCGCTTCCCCGCTCCTCCTCCTCCCTCTCGGCGCTTCGTGCTTAGGACTTTCTGGGAGGGAGGGGGAGGAGTGGAGACCCGGCGCTTCCCCACTCCTCCCCCTCCCTCCCAGAATTTCCTAAGCACCGCCAAACAGCTGTTTGACAGTGGGGGAAATGCTGGGAGGGAGGAGGAAGAGGCAGAGAAGAGGAACTGGTGCAATGTTCCCTTGTAAAGTTGCTGCTCTTCCACTGAACCTTACAAGCAGTGGACAGAGCAGGCAGCCAAATGACGTTATAAGGGAGCATTGCACAACTTTAAATGAGCATGTTCCCTAGTTGAGCAGCGATGTAACTTTGAAACAACGTTAAGTGAGGAGTTACTGTAACTGAAAAGAACCTCACAGTAGCATTCATGTATATCACCTCTCTGGCTTGTATATACAGTAACATACAAAAAAACTACATTACCATAAGAGAACATCAAGACAGCATAGTTAAGCCCCTAAAGCAATGGAACAGCAAAGTTACAGTTTTCCGTGCAACTGGAACTCTGTCCCACCTCTCCTTGTGCATTAACACGCTTTAAAAAATGATCATGTGCTATTAACTCTTACAGTCAGGGATTTCATGGGGAAAAAAGCATGTGTTCATGTAATTAACGACTATATTTTAATGCATATCCACAAGGAGGCTGAATTAAGGTTACACAAGCAACTGTATATCAGGCATTTCCTAATTTTCTGGTGCTTGCCTTTACAACCAAAATAACACTCTTGTATTAAAGATTTTATTTATGTATTTTTCTAGCGTTTGAGAAGGAAAAAACAAAACATACTCTTTATGTGCAATTGTAACAATTTCCATTGTGAAACATCAGCAGGTTTTGAATCCTGAATGTTCAGGATGGCAGCATGGACTGCTGCCACTTAAGCTACAGGACTAAGTACTTTAGCTAGCCGCAAGAGAAGGCTGTAATCCCAGAGAATGGTTGGGCTGGTGGGTGCAGTGTGCTGAAGATGGTTGGTGGGTGGGGTGAGGAGTTCAGCCTGTCTCAGTGAACGCTTGCTCTTCCCCTATAGGTTGGGAGAGCTTCAGCCCCATGTGTCACCCTGAAAAGGCCATTTAATGGGAGTGGGGAATCCAACCCCTCTCTCTTCCCCTTTCCCCCACAACTGCTAGGGCAGCTCCCAGGTTTTCCCAGTACAGTGTCAGCAGCAGCCAGAGCAGCTGCAATGTTGGTCATTGCATAAGCTTAACCTTAGAATGATTGTGTTTAGTTATTATTTTGGCAGGCTGCCAGAATTTTCCTTAGGAACACAAGTAACAGAAGGGAAATGGTGAGTTTTAACACTTTTTATCTCAGCAAATGCTGAATAGAATTTCATGGGACAAAAAAAGGCACTTCCTTAGCCCAAGGGATTTCCCCTTGCCAAATATCAAAGGTCTGCTGCAAACAATAGAGGTATTAGAGCTTCTCAAAGAAAAGGTCACAAGAATACCTTATAATGTAAAGTGCTAGGAATCCTAAATATAGGGGTTGCTACTAGGTCACCCTATCGTATATAATTAGGAAAAGGTTACATAATTTTAACAAGGGGAGAAAACAAGAATTAATATACAAGGTAGAAGGATGAAGAGTGTCTGGTACAATATCTTTGTTAATATCAATCATTAAGCTTTTCTCTTTAGGGGGCATTAAGTACTGTCTATGTCAATTTTGGTTTATATACCCTGTAGCAGAACGATGAAGCAAATGTAGGCACTAATATGATTCTTATTTACTAAGCTGTTGGTTAGTGTCAGCACCATAAAACACTCTGAAATTGTTTGAATGTGAAAATAAAAAGTGTTATGCTTATAGTGTTACACTAATAAAATAATACCAACAGGATCTTATAAGAGGGATGAGGCAAAAATGCCAGGTTTATTGTAAATACAGAGAAAGAGACAGAAATCAGGATATGCAGTTCAATATTATTTCACTACCATTCCTTATTCATTCACACACTCATTCATACAAGTTCTGCAGAGTTGTTATAGTTACCAGCCTAGAGGTTGCACATGGCAGAGTACTGGCCAGGTAGTCTGCACACGAGGGTGGAGCTGAGTCCTTGTCAGATGCGCATCTGATGCACCTGAAGGGTGGTTCAAAACCAGACTCAACATTAGAGTCTGTTCTTATAGGATTTTGTCCTTATACAAGTCTATGGGAATTGCTTCATCCTGCCGATGTTTGTTTGAGGTAATTATCAATCAGCAGGTGGCACATCCCTGATGGCTGAATGTCTGAGTGTTATCTTGTTCTTCGGGAGTCTTCAGCCCTCCATGGGGGGGAGGGAGGCACTTGTGTGGATTCCGGCCTGCCCTCTGGGGGGGGGGGGTCATCCGGTTATCTCTAGTCTATCTGCGCATTCTTCAGCCAATCGAGACTGGAGTTGTAATTCTTAGGCTGGCACTTCTCTGACCATTCATTCTTTATCTAAATCAATTTATCCTTTATCTAAATCAAGCGTCCATTCACATACATCCTCTATTTTAACATACATTTATCACTTATTACTTTACTATTTCTTAACTTTTAGCAACTCTCAGGATGTTGCAAATTTACTTAAACTTTAACATACATAACAAAAGTCAAAAGCTACTAAACTGTGTTGTGTTTGGAAGAACAATTACAGCTGTTTTTGAGAACAGACTTTCTGTCTTAGGATGTGTTAACACAATTAGCAGTTTGGCCTTGCACGTTTCTCACAGAGGGAGAGACACAGAAATGGAAAAAACAAGAGGCCTAAGCTGTGGGAATTCAATTGAATTCAATCTTACCCCTTGTCTCTCTTGGCCTCAGACTTGTTATACACATGCACTTTATGGTTCTAATACAGAAATTCCCTGATATGGTCCAACAATAGCAATTCCCTGAGTTTAGCGTTCCATCTGTTAATGAATAAAATAAATAGAAATATTTATATAATGCATTAGCTCTTCAAAGGACTTATAAGCATTAACAAATTATTGTCATAACATGTAAGTTTACTAAGCATCGTTATTCTTGTTTTACAGATTGGGAGGAGAGGGGAGATCAAGGCATTTGCCCAAAGGCTACAGTGTAAGAGCCAGGATTAGATTCAGGAGTTTCTGGCTCCTGGAAACTGTTTTCCTTGAAAATTTCTTTTAAAATGTTTTCCTTTCATTCCCCCTCTCCCCCAGCAGTTCCAGTAATAATCATTAGAGAGGATATGAAGTCTACCTCATTTTATTTCTTCTGTGACCCATGGAGACTAAAAACCCTTCAATGTCAAGTTTAGCATGCTAGTGGGCCAATTCTGTTAGATGCTGTACACAGGGACCAGTCTGAAGAACCTGACCCAACAAACATCATAAAAGGGTACCATGAGGTAGGGCCTATGGCAGTGTTTCTCAAACTGGGGTCGCCGCTTGTGTAGGGAAAGCCCCTGGCGGGCCAGGCCGGTTTGTTTACCTGCCCTGTCAGCAGGTCCGGCCGATCGCGGCTCTCACTGGCCGCGGTTCGCCGCTACAGGCCAATGGGAGCTGTTGGAAGTGGCGACCTGTATGTCCCTCGGCCCGTGCCGCTTCCAGCAGCTCCCATTGGCCTGGAGCAGCCAGTGGGAGCCACGATCGGCCGGACCTGCAGACGGGGCAGGTAAACAAACCGTCCTGGCCCACCAGGGGCTTTCCTTACACAAGAGTTGACCCCAGTTTGAGAAACACTGGCCTATGGGAATAATTGGCAATGAGGCAGAAATAAGGATGATGTGTCAGGGAGGTGCACACATGAGCTGTTTGGCATCTAGACATATTGGGGTGCTCCAACAGTAAGCTGAAGTTGGAGTTAGGCTATAGGTCCAGCTAAATTATAGTTAAAGGTATTAACCTACATCTACACTAGAGAAAAGTTCATGGTTAAATTGGGGTTAGCTAACACCAACCTAACCTCAACCTCTTTTCCTAATCTATACAATTAAAACATTTTTTTCAAATTATGAATTATACCTCAGTGTCCTTTTACTATATTATGACTGAGGTCTCTCAGTGATAACACTCATATGCTTATCAACCAATATAAGTCACTGCACCTAATATATTTCATTAATATCAGGCAAGCCAAAAACCACGAGTGATTTTAGATTCCGTTTTCTCCTTTCATGTCCATTAAACTGGACAGATATACTCTTAGTGGGTCTCCTAGAATCTGGCAGTACTTTGGGGCCAGTTAAAATAGCAAAAATCAAGCAAATTCTGCAATACATTTCAATAACCACCGTGGCACAACATTTATCTGTGCAATAGTCGCCTATAGCTTCACATCTGAAAAGTCCACTCAAGTGCAGAATGGCAGGAGATTTCAATAATAAGGCAATGTAATAAATCAGTGTCTATACAGTGTCTACTGTATCCTATATATCTGAATACACTGAAAGGTGCAAATATTTGCACCTTTCAGTGTATTCAGATATATAGGATACAGTACTGCTTTAGGCATAAATATAATAAATGCATTTGGTTATCAAATTAAAAAAAATATGAAGGAAACAAGCTGTGACTTTAAGTAATGCATATACCTGCACATGATTCTCCTTCTTCTACTGATGCATAAAAGAGCTAAATATATACTATCCACTCCACGTGAAATGGAACTGACAGTTTCACCGCATGCTTGGTAGAGGCGTAGTCTTAGGTTGGCAGCTGATGTCACTGTTACAAGAGACAATAGATATTTCAGGTCAATTGTGTGCAGCACCACATCAGTATTCAGGCATTTGGTAAATTACAAAAACAAGGATTATTGGAAAAGAACGTGTTTGAGTAATACTGTATGTATGTATGTGTATACATACATAGAGAGAGCAGGAGCCAGACCTTTTTTTTTTTTTGGCACACAAAACTCCCATTGAATCCAGTTTGGGGATAGAGCCAAAATAGAATAAGAAATAAAGCACCTTTTCCATAAGTCCTAGAGTAAAATTTTCAAAAGCACTTAACATGCAGGCACTTAAAAGCCCACATCACATCTTATCTCTCAGAACAGTAGCTGAAGCATGCTTGAGAAGATAAAAAAATGGAGGCATACATTTCCACCGGGTTTTCAAAATGTCTCCTGACATCTACGCTGAATTCATTATGGCCAGTCACCTACATATTTGTATATACTGTACATATAAACATACACATACACACACATTTATATGGTTAGGAACATATCATTGTGGACACTTGCAAAGTTCAAAGTTTTATTTGCTAAACAAAATCTGGCACCAATATTTTCTAATGGTTTGTTGTGTACACCATCTGCCTCAATAATATACAACGCCTAAGAATCAACTGAAAGAAAGGGAGATTTTCTTCCTCTGTACAATTAACTATATCAGGCTCAGGACATTATGTAACTATAGTACTGTATTGCTAAAGGGTATTTTTATTACTTTATGGCTTTGACATTTCCATTTCCTAATAATAAGTACATCTTAAAAGTTAGCCGTGCATAAATCCCTAGTGACAGTGACACATTCTTCTAGCTGACATCCTCAAGCAGAGAAATATTTTTCTTTAAATTGTAATGGTGGAAAATATGTTTTTGTATTGGTATAAAGAAGTTACATTATTAAAATAAAATAAGCTTTTTTAAAGAGCAAAAATCATTCTTCTTTGCACTTTTTTTGGTTCACACTGGGAGGGCTGAATCTTTCCATCTGCTATGCTTGCTGTTACTACAGATGGTCATATTCTGTACATATGGTATGTACATATATAAGCTGAAATCAGTGCTACGTTAGGGTGAAACTGACACATAATATGCAGCAGAATGTCTAACTTCAGTATATTGGTGAAATGTACTATTTCTTTTTTTTTAACTTTATACCTTTCTAAGTGAATTTTACAGCTCATGGAAGTGAGGTAATATTGGCTAAGACTAATGATAATATGAGCAGGTGCTGAGAAAGCATTTCCCAAAGAGTCTTTCCTGAACTAGGATAATCAAGTCCTTTGACTTCTGTTGGAAAAAAGAAAATGTTTTGTTTGTTGTAATACATCCAGCCATATTAGCACTCAAAAGATGTCAGTGTTCAGCCAGCTACTGCATTTTTTTTGTCCAAGGAGCCAGAGCTGTATGAGGTTTGAGCAGTCTTCCTGTGAGGTGCTACTCCCATTGACTGCAACAAAAGTTGAGGCACACAGGTCTTCAGTTGAATCAGACAGGAAATTTGTTCTTCCTCTGATTATTACAGAGCAATTAGCTGAGCAAATGAAGTTTGGAGCTAAACCTGATTGAAGGTTAGTGTAGGAATTGGACTCTACCCTGAACCTGGAGTGGAGTTTACATCAAGATGTGTCAGCATCTAAATCTCACAGACTGTTCTTCTGAGATTTCTGCCACATCCAAAAATAGGACCAAGTCCAATTTTGGGGCTCTTGCCTTGAATGCAGCTTAGCACCAAAGCGGAGGATTCAGAACTGGCTCTCTTCTCTCCCACAAAAAAACCCCAAATTAAAAATGGGTTGGATTTGAGATTCCCGTTTTGGCCAATCTCTAGTATTCTACAGTGTCAAGTGCACTGTTGTTGCTTAAATAGATGATGATCAGAGCTGGTCAGACAATGGAAAAATACCCCTCTTTTCTGGGTGAAACTGGCACTTTCCACAGAACCAAGTCTAAAATTACCAGATGTTTTCCTAATTCCGGTAGCTGCAGTGCCTGGTTAAGGCTACAGAGGGCCCTTGAGTACCATTGGTTTATGAACCCTCTTCCCGAGATAAAAATATTCAGTTTCCATAAAGTTATTAGGTTCATCTGGACATGCTAGAATCCTTTTGAGCCAAGTGATCTTAAACCCATACACCACAAATTTAACCTGTTCCCAGCTGGTTAATTACAAATGTTTAATTTCTGTTAGTTTTCCTTTTCCAACCTTCCAACTTTCTAGTAAATGGACTGAAGCTACATGCTGTAATAGGAAGAATCATATCTTACCTAATAGTAGTTGCTATGTAGTGCAAGGCGTCCTGTGTTGTGGCAGTGGGAGTCACGCGGCAGGCAATGTGGAGGTGCATCATCACGCTAGCCATTGCCAGAGGCATTCCATATTTCCTCTCTCTTCTCCCACATCCATTACATTCTAGTGTAATGGCTACATTTGGCAATTTGACAAAGAGACGTTGTGTTGGAACAGAAACAGTGATTGCTCTTAATTTTCTTGCCTTTTCTTCTCCCATTTTAATGCCAAACCAGTACATTACTCCCTTTTGACCTTATGACAGTTCTTCTTGTGCGATGAAAAGGTGCCATATCCAGCTACAAGTATAGGAAATGTATTTATATTAATTACCTTTAAATTGTTTGCTAAATTTCTAAAGAAACCTTAGACTACCTTTTTTCTCTCCTTTTTATTACAGGTTTGCTTTGTGAATCTAGATGCAAACAAAGATGATTGCAGTGATGAGCACTTAAAACAGGTAACAAATTAGGAAAGGCCTAATAATATGCACAATACATATGTTCATGTTATTCACAAGACGATGTGATGAGAACTAGAGAGAGGCCCAAACCATATTCCTAGGCCCAATTCTCTCTTGTCCCCTCCCAAACTTTCCCAGGACTTTGAAACCTAAACATGGATCTAAATTTTACAAATGGACACTCTTTTTAATATGGGCTGAATCAAAACTCTGGATTTGAAACTCCTCAAACAACAATATTTGAAATCCATATTTGTCTCCTGTTCTAAACGAGTGGCTTTATGCCCAACTCAGATGACAGCTACTAGAATTTTGTGGTCTAAATTCACAATGCCTATTTTGTAAGTGGACTTCCTGCTAAATCTTGGTTTTATAAAAGAAGTGTTTGTGCATGAGTTGTAGTTGTAATAGTTTATCTTGACACTGCAGTACAGAAAATAGTCTTATGGCAGCTTTTCCTCCTATCATCAAGCAAATCCTGAGGCCCTTTTACTCACTTATTTAGGTTTTATTCAGCTTCTCAGTCTTACTCAGGCAAACGCCAGATGATTTCATTGGGTGGGTTTCTGGATAGAGACTGGTTAAAAAAAATGTTTAAGGGCCTAAGGATTTGACTCATTGGATTTCCGCTTATTTACTGAGTAGAAAACCAGGACACTCTTCAGCAGTTCATAAAACCAGAGGCACAACTGGACATACAACTGAAAATGTGCATCCTCCTAAAATGCTCAAGTCGTGTGGTTATGGGAAGAAGTGACATTTTGAAAGTGTGGCACAAAATGAGCTTTTATATAGGGCCACAGAATGGAAGCTTAAACTTCTGAAGAAGTGGATTTTTTACCCACGAAAGCTTATGCCCAAAGAAATCTGTTAGTCTTTAAAGTGCCACCGGACTCCTTGTTGTTTTTGTGGATACAGACTAACACGGCTATCCCCTGATACTTGACTTCCCTTACTGTCTCCCGCCTCCATCATCCCATGCTGGCATCAGAAATACATGGCAAGTGAACACGTCAAAGAGGGGTCTATTGGCCATACTCAAAGTTCCTCAGTGAAACACTGGAATTTGTTTGCTGGGGCCATTGTAAGGTTAGTTGAGGACTGCCACATTATTTTCCTAATTGCCTTCTGCTAGTGATTCTCTAGCAGGAAGTCTTTCTACAAACAGCTCTCGATAGCCTCAAGCTGTGAAAACTTAAACATCAAAAATATATATAGCTTCCATAAGCAAATGGATTTTTCTGATGAATCAGTCAGTTAAGTGTGGATACCAGATTGAGAAGTTTAATTTCACTGAATCCACAGAAGTACTAGATTATTTATTAATGAGAAAGGAGAGGCCATTTTTTTTATTTATTTACAACCTCGGGGTATTTTTTTAAAGAACTGATGCTGTGTCAGATCATGGGGACTGATTAATGAGCAAGAGAGCCTTGATAAAGGCCAGATCCTGACTCCTGCACAAAAGCCAAGTAAATGAGCTTCACGCAGCACATCTTTGCAAAGGGCTAGAGTTAGAATCCTCTCCCACAAGCACAAATCACCATTGGAGACTCCCCACAGCTACATAGGATTTGACCCATAGATCCACATAGTGGTGCCTTCGCTGGCCATGTCCTTAAGCTGTCCACAGGCCCCTCCAGTACAGTGGTACAGAGAGGGTGGAACCCTAATTTGCAACATTCCCTCCCTCCTTGCATGGCCCCTCTACATCTAGGATTCCCCATGCTCTGAAAAATGCCAGGTCTGCTACCTCAGAGCCCTACATACGTGGCTTTTTGGCAGGCCACAGGATTTGGCCTTCTAGAAATAGTTACCAGTACGTAGTCTGAATGTTTCTTAGGTATAAGTGGAAACTAGTGTTTTTTCCTCTAGGGTTAATGAACATTTTAAAATATGTGCCACCAAAATGAAGGTTTGCATATTGTCTATCAGCCTCTAAAAGGAAGATCGGTCTGTATGCATTTCTATGCATAATTTACAATGACTTTTCAAAAGCTACTTTAGATAGTATGGATTTAAACAACATGCTAGTACAGTGAAAATATTTAATAGAAGTATATAAAAGATCTTGGCATAACTGTCGGGCACAAAAATGTTTATATAAGTTGTACAGTGCCATATGTTACATATTGGTGCTGTCTGTTACAATTTCAAATCATCCTTTTGACACCTATAAATGCCCCTCTGCCATGTACATTGGCCAAACCGGACAGTCTCTACGCAAAAGAATTAATGGACACAAATCTG